GGGTTTGGTACGAAATTGATAATCAAAGTAGGTAAATGAATAAAACGATGAAGACAAAATATTGAAAGCACTTATAATAGAAAACATTGGTTAGTAAATATCCACTGCTGAATTTAACACTGATCATTGATTCAAAAGGTAATTAATATGCAATTGAATATTTGTCGTGAAATTATTTTATTTTCGTTTTCCCTTAATTGTAAGTAACTAAATCACATGCGGTTTAATTACCCCTAACTACCAAATAACCTAAGCACAAGCGATTGTATTAATTTAGAAAAATATTCTACCTGAGATCAATTATCACTAAAGCCGTTAATAATCCGTCTTCGTCGCTACTGAAATTAGCATGTGATGGTGTAAATTTCCACGGGGTAGTCTTTTACACCATATGTGTGTGGTGTATGTGTATGTAGGAGGGGAAGGAAAGTTGTAGTTCCTTTCTGATGATGCAGAGGAAAGATAAGGAAGAATAGAAACAAGAGAATATTGAGTGTTGAATGTTGAGGCTTGTTATTGAATGAGATTACAAGGAAGGATTAGGTCCTAAAGGGTTGGGTCCTTTATATAATTATAGGACCTAACCCTTAGAAAATATAATATTTTTTAAGGGACACTTACCTTTCAGGGTACAATAATATTACATTAATTATGCATTTTAAATTTATACGAGTAGTCTTTGTCTATATTTATTCATCAGCATGACTTGTACCACAAATTATTATCTAATACAGCAAATAATTATATCAAATAAATAACTAGTAGGCTTTCCTAGCAATTAATTGATACAACTATTAAAATAATTTAAAAAAATATTTAATACTCAAATGCATAAAAATTATATAACAAAAATAAATAAATAATCTCACAGCATAATCAATTTCGTGACTTCAATTTACTAAACTAACCTAAAGAAAATTAGCTTCGCAGAGACATTAATAACAACTTCAAAGAAAGAAAAATTAAGATAATCTAGAGGAAGAAGAATCGCCCCCTCAAGAGAAATTTTTCACTATTTATACACCTCTCAATATGGACTCAAGTCATTTTCTACCACCCACTTCCTGTAGTTCCGCGTAGGAAGAGGTCATCGCCTAAGCTCAAACCGCTCATAGTGGACATTTGCGCTGTGATTGACGAAGTGCTTCCTGTTTTTTCGCTGTGCCGCACGTCCCGTACGTAGGAATGAAACAAATGTTTAATTTGTTTTGCAATCGTTATACCGTGCACCACGGCGCACATAGCACTGTGTACCTCGCACCTCCCAAAAGGTCAAAATGATGTCGTTTTGTTAAGTTATGTAGGGTGTTGACGCGATTATGTACATTATGTTATACAATTATGTACATTTTTTTATACGATTATGTACATTTTTTTTATACAATTATGTACATCCGAAACAAGAAATTTATGTGTATTATGTTAAGAGTTTATGTGTATTATTTATTATATTAGATTATGTATATTATCTTTTCAAAAAAGAATATGTGTATTTTGTTATACAATTAATCAATTATGTACATTCTGTTATACAATTATGTACATTCTATTATACAATTATGTACATTTTTTAAACATGAATTTTAAAATAAAAAAAAAAAATTAACAGCGACAAACAGAAAATGAAATTTCCAAAAAAAAAAAAAAAAAATACAAAACGACATCATGCGCCCTGGTGCACGATATAAATTGCCTTTGTTTTGTTGCTAAGAGTTGGTCCAATATAAATCACTAATGAACTTGAGCTTACTTATATTAAATTAAAGTAACTAAAGAGTTTACTAATAGCTTATTGTGCTCAAAACACATTATTAACTAGAGGAATAAGGTTTAAATTGTCCACCGAATGTAACCTGAAAGTGCAATTAGGCCACTAAATGAAAAAAAAAATAATATAATTAGATCACTAAACACTCCAAATGTATGCAATTTCACCTGATAGCAAGTTACCATAATTGCACTCTTTTCGTTTATGAAATGAATAGTAACCTGCTATCAGGTGAAATTGCATACATTTGGAGAGTTTAGTGGCATAATTGCACTCTTTTCGTTTAGGGACCTAATTGCACTTTCAGGTTACCTTGGCTAATTTGGACCTTATTCCTTAACTAGATAAAATATTTATTTTGCTTATTAATTATTAAACTCCAAAAAGAAATAAGTATTATCTAATAGTAAATAATTAATAAAATATATTATAAAGATGTACATAAAATAAGAGTGCAAAAATGTCTATCAACAAATCTAAGGGCTATGCAATTCTTTCAACTTTCTCACAACCATTTGACATGTCAAATCCTAGCTTTCTTGAAAGACTTCAAACTTTTACAGAATTTGAATCTTTCCTACAATGAGTTTGAAGGAGCAGTCCTAACCACTGGAATCTTCAACAACACAAGATCTGTTTCAATTGCAACAAATAAAAAGTTCTGTGGGGGTATACTTGAGCTGAAACTTCCTGAATGCAATATTACAAAGTCCAAAAAGAAGAATTTAGAAGGTTATTTGAAAATAGTAATTCCTATGATTTTTGGGATTGTTGGGCTAACTGTTGTAGTGTTTATTCTCTGTCGTAGATGGTTATGGTTAAGAAGACAAAGAAAATGACCCTTTCTTAATTTGATAGAAAACTCAATCTTAAGAGTGTCGATCATATCATTCCCTCTTCAAGTGCACTAATGGGTTCTCTGAAGAAAATTTACTAGGAGTTGGTGGTTTTGGAGCTGTATATAAAGGATCTTTTAATCATGATGAAACCGTTGGAAAAAATAGCATTAAAATGACATTTTGAGTTATTATTTTGTGGTACAAATATATGTGGGATCCATTTCTGATTTGGGTTGGGTCAAAGTAGATTCGGGTTCTTCGTAGTGAGACAAAGAATTTGATATAATGTACGCTCAAAATGGATAATAAGTGAATGAGAAATTGATTCTCAAAGTGAACCTATTTGAGAGAAGTCAAATTAAGCTGAGAAAGCTTAAAACTTAAGATTAAACTTAATTAGTGTGACAACACGAGTTGTCAAGCTTGAGAATAAGCTTTTGGGAAGCTTAATTAATGTGCTAATTTGTTAGCACGAATTTGGAATTGGGACGAAAGATGCCTGCAGAAGCTTTGGTTTCGGTGCCTTTGTTTTGGAGCACGAAGTAATACTCTTTGGCTTAGGCTCTTTTCGTGCTCCTTTCATAGGAGCAGCACGAGTTAATGCTATATGCATTGATTCGTGCTGCACCATTTCGGTGTTTGCGGACCACTAGAGTGTGGTTTTCTATCCCAATTTCGTTCAACCTTCAGGTTTGTACGGACTTCTCGGTCACTCAGATATTTTGAAACGGGTCATTATAGTCGGTACGAACTAATCGGATATTAAGTCCGTGACCGTTAATATTATTTCTATAATAAGTACGACCGTTTCAAACATTATAATTCAATTATTAAATTGAATTTATGTTGGTTAATGTGTAATGCTGATGCTATTAAGTACCAATCTCATATATAAACATGTTGTGGGAGCAACCTTTTTGAGAGAGTGATAGAGAGAAAGTGAGAAACAACACAAGAACACACAGAAATTCTAGTTTTCCTCTCAAAACTCTGCTCCTACTTCATTCTTGAAGTTGTGTTCTGCATGTGCTCTTGTTCGCCGGGTTCGTTCCTTTGGGTGCTCAAACGTCGAACCGTAGTACGTTTTATCCTGGGAAGCCTAGGCCACAACGCTACTAGCACTTTTGGGGAGTGGCAAATAAAGTTTTAAGGAAAAAGGCAATTCACCTAACTCGTACTTACCATCTTTCTTCCTCTCCTTTTTTGTTTTGGATTATGCTCTAAGCAAAAATCCTTTCTACTTTCTTGTTGATTGAATTGTAATATGATAATAGAATTTCCAACAGAAACCCATTCCTCGAGAAAAATGCAAATGAAACATCGTAAACTCAATTGCAATGGAAGTGGAACTAACCTTGGTGCTCTGTTCTTGAGTTAAAGCTGCATCTTGAATTCATTGTAGAAATGGAAGTAGGATCTATGATGGTTTGCTTTATCGGATCGTAATTTCAGAACGATTAATTTAATTTAATCCTATCTTTGTTAGTCCATACCAAAACAATTCTGAAATTTCTTTTTGCTTTTACAGTTTTCAAAAGGTATTTATACATATTTTTAAAAGGTATTTGCAGATAATATATACTCCAATTACGATATCAATATTTAATTTAATGGGAACCTTATGAATTAGTTGCATTTTAGTCTCCAGGAAAACACTGAGATTGAAGAGAATAGGGCGTAAAGTTTTTCTCAAAGGATAAACATTCTCATGGATGTGGCATCTGCTTTAAATTATCTTCATAATGATTGTTAACCTGCAATAATCTATTGTGATCTAAAAACAAGTAATGTTCTCCTTAATGAAAACACGACAACACATGCAAGTTATTTTGGAGAACGAGGAACTGTGGGTTATGCATCACCTGGTAAGTATAGTTATTACTTATTAGCTTATAACAAATATAGTTATTAGCTGCATTAATTGATTGTAAAAAAAGTGTTTGGTAAAATAATTGTTACCCGATTACATACAAAATTATTTTTTCAAAAAAATGTCAAAATTAACTAATAAAATAATTATTTTACCAAACAAGACCTACACCTATTATAAATGACTCTACTACATGTAGAACCAAATCTTACTCCCTTAAAGTTACTTTACATGGGCCCGTAGAAAAATCATTTTTCAAAGCAAAATATGCCTTTCGAAGAAGGCCATCAAAAGCAAGTAATGTATATAGACATGTATCTTTGTGACTAATCTAGGATATACTCACTGGGAGGAAACCAACAAATGAGTTGTTCCAAGATGGATTAATATCATATTTCTACAGAGGATAAGGAACTATTGAGTAATGAGTACATGAAGATAACAAGCATCAAAATGGCATTTGGGCTTGACTACAACTTAAGGTTTCATTTTGATAACAGGAATAAAGAGGACTTGTCTCAAATATCCAAAAACAGACAATAAATAGATGAGAAAATTAAGGAGTTCATATATCTAATTAAAAAGCAAACTTTGTCTAAAACATATAATCTCCAGCACAACAAAAACTAGAAATCCATCAAACTCAAAGCATCAAATTTAATCATCAAACAGACTAAAACCCATTTCATCCTCAGATTCTTCTTCTGGCTCTTCTTTCTTCTCCTCGGCAGCAGCAGCAGCTGCCGGGGCAGAGCCAGCAGCAGCAGCAGCAACTGGAGCAGCAGCAACCGCAAACTTGGAAGGATCCTGCATAATTAACAAAGTAATTCATCAACATAGGAAGGAAGCTGGAATACAAAATCTCTAGCAATAGAACAGTGACAGGTAATTGAAAAAAGTATATATACAAACCTTGAGATACTCCTTGACTTTATCAGCCAGTGGGAAGGAGTAATCTGTTTCAACGGCAATAGAAAGCACATTCTTGTAGCCATTGATAAGCATGTGGGGAGCAGCAGCCAGTGTGGGGTAAGAAATAGCCAGAGAAAGTGAAGTAACCATTGAAACACCCAGGGCAAACTTCTCAAGCAGGTCATCCTCAGTTAAATCAAGCACCTCAGGGCTAAAAACAGAACCATTATCATAAACGGAGAGCACAATTAGACCATAGGAAAATGGCCTGATCCCAAGTTTTGCGAGCAAGGCAGCCTCAGAGGATCCCACTTTATCACCCTTCCTGATAAGCTCCACAGGGGTGATAATTTCAACAGTACCCTTGTTAATCTTAGTGGGGATATTCAGCACTTGGAAGAAAGAGGTCTGAGAGGGATCAAGACCAGTGTTGCCTGGTGGGACAACAACATCAATTGGAGCAACCAGACCAACACGAGCAGGAGCACCAACCTGATAACATCAACCAAGAATAATAATTTTCAAAAGAACTATAACAAAGCTGCAGTATATAGAATTAACAAAGTAACTGAGCAAATAATGTGAAATTGAATACAACACTAAGGGGGCGTTTGGTTCAAGTTATATAACATAACCAAGGGAATGTGACATTCCAAAGCTCACATTCCTATGTTTGGTGCACATTATCTCAGGGAATCTAACATTCCCCAGGAATGTCACATTCCCTCCACATAGGATTTTGAAGGGAATGTGATTCCCTTCAAAATCTTAGGTAATGTAAGATAACCTTGGTTATGTTAGTTTATTATTATTATTATTATTATTATTATTATTATTATATATAATTATTTTTGTAATTATATATATTTTTATTTTTATTATGTTATGTTAGCATATAAAATAATTTTGTTTCTCAAGTTCAAGATTTTAGTTAATATTTTAAAATCATGTAATTATATATGATACCGTTATCTTATTTATTTATTTTAATTTTTAAATTTATTAAAATATATGAAAATATGTTAAGGATATTATAGTGTGTATAAAAGATAACCCTAAACCAAACATGATTATATTACATACCCCAATTTTAACCAAACATAGGAATCTAACATTCCCAGTAATCTAACATTCCCAGCAATCTAACATTCCCTAAGGTAATCTGACATTCCGTGAACCAAACAACCCCTAACAGAATAATTATCTAATTATCAGAAAAACAATGTCATATGAAATCAATCAGGTAATTACACAAGAGAGACCAATAATAGGATGCTGATATTGACAAATTACAGATGCAAGAGCAAAGTAACATAACATTTATTAATGCAAAATATAATAATTCACTGCAACCAAATAATGCTTCTAAATCATCTTTAGGAAACAAGAAAAATTATTATTCATACATAGCATATTGCATTACAAAAAGAAAGAATCAACAACACTCAATAAACCACAATTAACAAAAAAAAAATGCAGCAGTGTATTAAACTGACCTTGTATTTTGCAACCTCCTCACTCACTTCCTTCAAATCACCCTTAGTGAAAATCAATCCAACATTACCCTGAAAACGAAACACAATTCCATAAATTAAGCAAAATTTATCCACCACAACACTTAATAAGCAACACGAAGCAAAAAGTATAAAACGAATCTCTGTAATATAAAAATACTTAACTCGAAGCTTCAAACATACAAACTTAAAATGTTATAACCTCTATAACTATAGCATTATACAACTAAGAAATAATAAAGCAACAATATATGTAGTTCCCGAGCAATAGAACAAGAACACTTACAACCAAGAGAGGGATGAGGTTGAGGATGGCGGTGTTTCCAGTATTCTCGGCGTGAACACGAATGCTACGCTTGATCATGGTGTTCTTCCCCATCAACACCACAGAGTCGCCCCTCAGCCCCTTCCTGATGTTCTGGAGCTGATTGCTGCCGACGTTATCGGCGACGGCAATCAGGATCTGAGTGTACTCATCGAGAAGCTGGCAGAGCTTCTGGTCATAAGCGATCTTCTTCTGGGCCTTAGTCTGCTTTACCGCCATTGATACAGTTAGAAGATAGTCAAAAGTACAAACACTCCTAAAACCCTAAGTTTTACAGAAAAATCTAGGGCCAAGACAGACAACAACACTGTCAAGGCGGACAGCTCGGAGCCGTCGCTTTAACCTAAGGTTTTTGAGTCGGAAAGCTGGAGAGGAAGAAGGAAGAAAATGGCTTGAAAGTGCGCACAGGAGAATGAAGCGGAAAGATAAGCGAATATATAGTGGAAGAAATGAAGACCTAATTTCAACGGTAGAGATTCGTTTGTTAACCCCAACGGTAGCGATTAAATCTAGGTTATACTGATGGGCTGGACGTTTGTTTTGTGCCCTGGGCTGTATCTTTTATGAGTGGTCCGTATTTACAGCAATTATAGTGTGGACCGCGGTCCACAGTTTCATTTGCCCTGTATTTACAATAGTTATGCTGTGCAACCGAATGTACCATGCGCATGGTGTCTATGGTTCAAAATGATGTCGTTTTGATTAAAAATGTGCGTCCCACTTTAAAAAAAAAAATCAGGTTCGACTCTCAGCAATAGTATTATTGTGGATATATAATTATGAAATTGTGGATATATAGTTATGAAATTGTGGTTATATAGTTATGAATTTATGGATATTTAGTTCATTCATTGTGGATATTTAGTTCATTCATTGTGGATATTTAGTTCAATCATATATTGTGAATATTTAGTTCATTCATTGTGGATTTTTACTTCATTCATTCATTCATTGTGGATTTTTACTTCATTCATTCACTGTGGATATATAGTTATGAAATTGTGGATATATAGTTATGAAATTGTGGTTATATAGTTATGAATTTATGGATATTTAGTTCATTCATTGTGGATATTTAGTTCAATCATATATTGTGGATATTTAGTTCATTCATTGTGGATTTTTACTTCATTCATTCACTGTGGATATATAGTTATGAAATTGTGGATATATAGTTATGAAATTGTGGTTATATAGTTATGAATTTCTGGATATATAAAAATGCTATTGCCGGGAATCGAACCTGATTTCTTCTTTAAGTGGGACGCGCGTTTTTTAACCAAAACGGCGCTGTTTTGCAACCGTATGCACCTTGCAAGGTGCATTCGGTTGCACAGCATAATTTGCGCTGTATTTAAAAGTAGGCTTAGGCCCAAAAGTGTATGTTACAGGATTATACTATCAAATAATCTATATTCAGTACACAAATAATCTACTTTGAATATATTAAAAATGTATATTGTATTAAAAATATACATTATTTGAGTACTAAAAATACATTATTTTGTATAATATACATTCAGTACACAAATAATATTTTTTATATAAAGAAGCTAATTCATTAATCATAAGTTGAAACGTTTACAATAAAGATCGATAAAATGATAAAACGTTCTTTACAGTCAGACATAGAAACAACTTTTCTAGCAATGCTACAAGAAACTTGAATCGCATACTGTTTTACAATATTGAAGTTGAATTCATTGGAGGAACTTGAAGCTTCTTTGATGTTGTTAATGATCTGGCTACCCAATACTGACTCTGTTTGAGAAGTATTGTATACCACCTGAGTATCTATTGCAACTCTTATGTCCTTAGACAATATCTCCATTAATGTGAACTGTATATCATAGTTCAGATTTTCTTCGATGAGATAAACATAAGTCATGACCAATTAAGGTGAAACGATTTAATTGGTCATGACTTATGTTTATCTCATCGAACAAAATCTGAAGTTTCACCTTAATGAAAAGAGAACTCACCAAATAAACGAGAGGAAAAAACTCGTCAGATAACCAAGAGGAAAAACACATATATGCAAAAAATAATAATAATAATAATAATAATAATAATAATAATAATAATAATAATAATAATAATAATAGTGAACAAAAACAAACAGATAAAAGCAGTGCGAAAAGGAGTGGAGATTGAGGGAGAGGGATAAAGGCGGATAGTGGCTGTGGAGATGGAGGTAGACGGATGAGGGAAAGGGGAAGTTAAAACAAGTGGCTAAGGCAGAGGAGACGGTGGAAATCGAACGGAGGAGACGGTGGAAATCAAACGAAGAAGCAAGGAGATGGCAGCAAGGGAAAGCAAGGTTGGGAGATGGTGACAAGGGACACCGCCTCTGCTCGTTTCGCGGAGGTGCCTGAAGATGGAAACCCTAGTGCAGAGAGAGAAAACTGTTACACTCCCAGTACCTCAAATTACAAATAATGTATTTTTAATATATTAAAAATGTACATTTTGTTATGATTCACACATTGCTGTGTAGACCATGGTCCACTCAATAATTTGCATCTATATTACAAACTTACAATATATGACATTTGTAACCCTTAATAATCCTCCTTTTTTTTTCTTTCAAACATATATATCTATCTATCTAATGCCCCTTTGAAACTCGTATTTATAATTTGGGAATTGGTTACTGTAACACCCTCTTTTTCTTAAATTTACTTAAGCAACTAAACATTTAAAAGATAAACTAAACAGCGGAAATAAACTTAATAAATTAACTTTAAGGGAGCGTCACCGCCACAAACACCCTTCACGGTGATTGCACAGGCTAGGGTAAAACTAACAAACAAGTCCAACTAAAATCGAGAATCTAGGGGATACAACCTTGGTGTTCAACACCATCAAAACATAAGTTTACTACAATTCATCAAACGAGTTTAGACTACAACATCATTCTAACTAGTCTAACTCGGAGCTCTCCCTCTCGAACCTACGAGCTCGAACCACCTGAAAGGGGTTAACAAATAAACAAGTAACAAGCAAACCCGTTAGCACGAAGCTGAGTATAACGCCACTCAACCATGTAAAGTAAGTACAATATATACTTTGGAAAACAAGGTTCCACATTCTTTGCTCAAGCAAGTTTAAACACTTAACATACTTTGGCGTAACTTCTAGATGCTTGCAACTTAATACTCAAATAGGCATACTTAAACATAAACAACTCATCACATTCTCATCTTATAAACAATCTAAAGCTTCTCAAATAATCAAAATTCTCATGCTTTCTCCTATAAATCAAATATGCAACTCATGCTATCAGGTACTTCTCATGCAATCTCGTGCAAGATATATCAATAGACAATCTCGTGCTACTACTCATGCAATCTAGTGCAAGACATATATAAATAAGCAATCTCGTGCTACTTCTCATGCAATCTAGTGCAAGATATATAAAAAAAAATATAGATATACTGTCACACTCTAAAAAGAATACTTTTTTGTGGAGGTTTATAATGTCATAAATGACTTGCTTTTCTTTTCTTTTCTTTGAGTCTCAATGACTCTCTTTCTTTCTCTTGAGTCTCTTTTGACTCACTTTCTTTCTCTTGAGTCTCTCTTGACTCACTTACTTTCTCACACTCGTGGACGGTTTAGGGATTCACAATGGTGTGAATTAACCCATTGGGAACTGCGTATAGCCGACCCAATATCTCCTCCCGTCCACAGAACCAATCTAGTGGTCCTTTTTCTCACTCTGTGGAATCAGGTATCGAACTATCAGTGTGCACACCTCCTGACCAGGATTCCAAGCCTGGCGGGCAGTTTCCAACCTCTTAGTAACGTGAGAATACGCCTCGTTACTGATTATCGGATCGCAATTGTCCGAATCTTCTTCTTTTACTCCGAAAGGACATAGTCCAAACGGGTCCTCCAAAAATACTGTTTTCCTCACCATAGATATATATAGATAGATATATCACTCATGCATCTCAAGATATGCAAATACTCTTCTCATGCAATCAATGTACATAACTTCTCAGCTAAATCTCAATATGATAAGATAACGGATCTCTACATGAATATGAGATTTTAGAAAATATATTTAGGCTCACATTGGCCTCTTATGCACATTTTTAAAACATGACATGCTCAACAATGCCATTTACTGTGAAATGATGCTTCTAACTTGTATTTACTGTGAAACTCAACAATTTTATAAATCATGCTTGCTACTCAAAACTTAACAATTCATTTCAATAAACACTTAACAAGTATTTAACATGCTATTGGAACTCAAGTTGCTTCAAGGAACTCATTTACTGTAGTTTAACCTTCAATTTGAACATGCTCTATACCCTTTCAATAATCTTAACTATAATAAAGCAGAATGGTCTGGCCAAAATTTATGGCTCTAATTCCCGCCTAACAAATACTATGCCGTTGGGGTTAGCCTATTCCGTTCTAGCGTTTATTGTTATTAACTTCTGGGCGGCTGATTTAAATTGAGACTCTTCGATTCGAGGATTATTTTGTATTAAACATTGGTACTATGAAGGCTGTTGATGGCATTGATCCAGCACATAAATATTGTGAGTGGTAAGTCACATACCTATTGTGAGTGGAGATCGAAACATTAGAGCATGCATTATCATAAGTATTGTTACTCAGCCTGCATAAAAGTGCATATTAAAACAATGTCCAGTTAAAGAGAGTGGAATTTTGGATAAATGTGTAGACTGTACAAGGATATTGAATTAAGTGTAAAATAAGATTATGAATTAACTTAGAATAGTACGTGTTAATGTGAACTTGAATCTGGACTCTGCATCCATATCTAATGTGAAACAGTGAGGCAGTTACAAAGACCAAATTTTGATCATTGATTACAAAGAGGAGATTAAAGGGAGACATAGTGTAATGGAATCACAGCTGAAAGACTTGGCAGTGAGATCTAAGTAAGTATCTTAAGTTTATCATTCAAGGGTTACAACCCAACAATTGCAGTTAAATGAATTGAAAATGGTATATTATATGAACTATTTCTGGAATTGAAAATAAATTAACTCAGAAAAATATGAGTACCAAAAGTATTTTGTACCTGTGAATGTCCAGCTCTCTGTTTCAAATCTTACAGATCTGACTGTACTCAAGATCTGACATGCATGAGTTCGGTCTTTCCTATACAAACAATATCGGAGAGAAATACATTAGTCACAAGATATTACTGAAAGCATAGAACTGAATTTCAGCCAGATCAAACGAGAAAATCAATCAGTAAATAAACACTGAAATCGAAAAGCGCTAAACCACAATTAGTTTTTCGTAGATCTCCCAGTCTTCCGTCTGTAGTCGTTCTGGGTTGATTTTGGGTTTGTAGATATATGATACACTGCTGCAATGATTGGGTCAATCTACTAAGATCGCCCAAATTTTGACTTCAACGTAGCACATGTAATGATCGTGTTCGAACTCGGAGAAATGGATTAGCTGAGATTGCTCGATCAATCTGCGAATATCACTTTTTCGATACCGAAATGTGTCGGAGAAGGCAAAGCGGAAGCACAAAAATGAGGAAGATTATGGATGAGAGGAGGCGTGGTTTCTAGAATCTACGACACCCTTCTCATCTTACGCGTGTGCAGTTGTAGCAGACATCCAAAATCTAAAAAAAGGCAAATGTATATTTGTTTGTGTTGGTGAGACCCAACTTCGTGAGTGTGTATATATATGCTATTATTTTAATTGGATTATTATAGTAATCATAATTGTAATTACATGTTACATTGTAAAATAATTGTTATAGTTGTAATATTATGAATAAAATAATTATTAATAGTACTCTTTAATTTTAATATATTATTATTTATTTACATATTGAATCACCAACGTAAATCAAAGCATTTTTAAAGTTTTGAGAAAATATGGTATTGAGTAAAAGTTTAACTATTATAGTATACTTTAAAGTTTTACGGTATATAGTATGTTTGTGGCCACCAAATGGTAACCAACTCAAATTTGCTTGAGTGTGTACATACACTACACATAAAATGAAATTAATAATCGTATTTGGCTCTGTAAGCTATGTCATTTTTTTTGTATAAAATAAAAAAATAAAAAAAAAAAGAAGAAGAAAGAATCAGTTTTAATGTAGTAATGTATATTTATTATTAATTCTTTTTCTAATAATTCATTTGTTAATTGTAGGAAGAACAATTCTAAAGATAGCATTCATGTTGATGTTGTTCCAATTTTAGACATTAAAAAAATTCCCGACGAGAATAATGTTTTAGTCCAATCATTTCGCAATGCCAGGACACATATTGAAGCAAATTTACGGGTTGAAATAGAGATAGAGACTAATTGGTAAACAAAATAAACAACTAATATTGTTTACAAAAAAAAGTTTTCAAGAATATGTAATTTGAATTTTGTTTATCTAACATTAATATTGATTAAGTATTTTTACTTTGGAATAATGCTTACAAACATTTATTAGTACACAATTCAATTCTTTACAATAAAATGCTACTTAATATATTCAATTGTTTAATATTTTTTTAACATCCTTTTATTTTTGGTATCAACAATATAAATACTTATAATTATTCGACATTGTAGTCATATCGCGCATCACAAATACTTATATATCTTTAGTTATAACATATATGTTTAGATTTTCATACCGTGCATCGCACGGGTAAAATACTAGTGCTAAACAATAGCAGACAACTCAACCAATCATATAAACATTTTTGGCATGCTTTTCTATCCAAACTTAACACATAGTGTTCATGCTTCTCTACTTAATCAATCAAAAGATAACAAGCTCAATACCCTGTCCAAAACGACACATAGCTGAGCCACAAGGGCCCGACCACTACACAGAGAACTGTCAACGGACCTAGGGGCGGGGCTCCTCTAAGCCCGCCCACTTGCCAGCTCTAGGCAACGGTCCCCTACTAGGGTCGCTACCTAGGCCCGACTGGCCACGGTTCTAGCCAACGGTCCCCTTGTTGGGCCGTTGGCTGGGACCGGTAGGTCTACTGGTGCACACTGCCTGTGCACCAGATGCCTCCTTTTCTCCTGCAAACACTTCTCAAACAAAACTAACTCAACCAACACATCAACAACACATTATAGATCATCTCAAAGCTCAAACACAACATTTATTTAGCATTTCTATTCATTTCTACTCACTAAAGACTTCACAGAGTCTTGAAAAAGAGATTGGGAGTCCATGGGTTATACCTCTTGTTGTCTCTTCTTCTTGCTCTTCTTCCTTGAGTCAAACTTAGCATCTACTCTACTCAAACACCATTCCATTCACCATCTAGACACCTCAAACAACAACACAAGCCAAGCCTAGCAAAACTCAGAGATTGAAAGCTAGGATGGAAACCTTAAGGAAAAGAGGTGAAGGGGTGAGATGAAAAGCTTACTGTGTTGTTTTTCTTCTACTTGGTAGACAAGAATTTGGGAAGGCAAAGAAGAGATCAGGAGAAGACAATGTAGCTAAAGAGATAATTTATAGGGTCCAAAACCCTAGGATAAAAGTCAATGATTGGTTGAGGGCAAAGTGAGAATTTTACTTGTTGCTATAAAGATCAGACAAAAGCTTGAAAGCTTGTGGTCCACCTTGCATCATGGACCAAAGGCTAGAATTGCTATTTAAAATACTTTGGCGTTGAAAAAGGAATTTACCCAAAAAGGTTTATAGATGAACACTTGTTTTAAGCTTCTCAGAACTCTCCCGATTTCACTCAGATAGATTTCTCAGTTCAAAACGTGGCACGCAATGTACCCGGAAAATCAGGATATTGGAATTAAATCCAATCTTAGTGTCGAATTGAATTTTTAAAAAAATGGCTCAAAATATAATATTCAACACTGCTTCTTTTGTAAAAATTTTATAGAATGAAAATTGACTATTTTGAATTTTCTTAAAACCGAATTTATAAAATAAATTTTGGATTTTCACAGTTACTCTAGTAAAAAAAAAAATGTAAAACTAAGAGCTTGAGAATTAGTTGCTTTCGTAAAAAATATGTGAAAGTGAGAGGTACGGCCCAAGTTAGCCCCTCGCAAGGTAGTTTCGTATCACATGCTCAACAAGGCACTAAGGCGCAAATTATGTAGTTGACTCGTGTCCATAATGCATTGTGGACACGAGTCCAAAACGACGTCGTTTTCAGGGAAAACGCGTTATTTCAGTTAAAAAAAAAAAATTTGATTTTGTCTCGCCGTTAACAGCGTTATTCGTTTGTGCCATTATGAATGTACAGTTATGGCATTATGAATGTACATTTATGGAATTATGAATGTAAGTTATAAACTTATGAACACAGAGCTATGATATTATGAACTTACAATTATGAACATATAGTGATAAAATTATGAACATAGAGCTCTAAAATTGTGAACATCGAGCTTTGAGAATTACGATTTTACAGTTATTGCATTATGAATGTACAGTTACAGAATTATGAATGTACAGTTATGCAATTATGAATGTATAGTTATGAAATTATGAACACAGAGCTCTGACATTATGAACTTACAATATGAACATATAATGATAAAATTATGAACATAGAGCTCTAAAATTGTGAACATAGAGCTTCGAAAATTATGAAGTTACAGTTATTGAATTATGAATGTAAAGTTACGGAATTATGAATGTACAGTTATGAAAGTATGAATGTACAATTATAGAATTATGAACATAGAGCTCTGACATTATGAACATATAGTAATAAAATTATGAACATATACTCCTATAATGAAGTTCTAATTTTTTTTTTTTAAAAAAAAAAAAAAAAGATAACAATGCCTAACGGCACTGTTACCCGTGTCCAGCATGCATGCTGGACACGGGTCCATAGCATAACGATTGACACTAAGGGGGGTGTATTCAATCATGACTTTCATAGAGTTTTAAAAACTTTTATGAACTTTAAAAGTTTGGAGGTATTCAATTCAAACTTTTAGACAGTCTTTAAAAGTTAGGCGGTATTCAATTAAGATTTTTAAGGAGTCTTTAAAAGTCGTGTGGTATTCGATTAAGACTTTTAAAGAATCTATAAAAGTCATGTGGTATTCAAAAAGTTATGAACTTTTGTAGACTTTATAATTTTAAGACTTTTGTAGACTTTTCCTTGTCAAATATAAATAGGTGAAATCCAACCATCAACCCCAAGATTTCAAAATTTTCTTTCTAACAACTTTGAATGTTTTCTCTCTTAATCTAAACTCTATTTTTTCTCCTCCTATCTAAATTCAATAAAATTATTATTTTTCTTCATTATCCTATATTTTCCTCATACATAAACTCTACCAATTTTTTTCTCTCTCCTAAACTTTACAATCTTCATCTAAAAATTCGAAATAATATTATTTTTACTTCATTATTATGGCTTGTTTATATTGATTTTTATTTTTTCTATGAATTTTTTATCCCTAACTTTCTCTAATTCTCCCTAAATACATGAACAAAGCAAATTGTTCATCGTCAAATTTTAGTATATGTTTCATAATATTCATATAAATACTTATATACTTTGATTTTTATTCTTTTTATGTTTATATTCGTAATATATATATATATATATATATATATATATATATATATATATTAACAACATGTTACTACGAATAGCGAACTACTATTCGCAACAACAATTTGGCCGGGTTGCAAACAGTAGCACCTTGTTGTTGTTCGCAGTCTCAAATTGTTATTGCAAATAATAGTTCTTTGCACGATGTCTAGCAATATATCAAGTATAATTTTTTATATATATTATTAATATTAGATTTTTTTTTATGAAACTTGTAACTATATTTTTAAATATTTATTTGATCAATTCTTTTATTATAAATTTTATTGTTCAATATTGTTATAAATTTCCAATGAAATAGTTTTTTTTTTTTTTTTGTTAATATTTATTAATAATATATATATATAAGTAATTAGCATTTTTTTGAAGAATAAGTAATTAGCATTTTTTTTTGAAAACAAGTAAGTAGCATATAAGTCTTAGCATACTATGGATAAAAATAATAATGTTGAGTATGTTGATATGAGTGAAGAACTATATAATAAGAAGAATTTTATGATATATTATAAATGTTTTGTAAGAAAATTATAAATAATAAGAATCAAAATCATTGAAAGTTTGTAAGGATGTATTCAATTTAGAATTTCAATGACTTTTGTAGACTTTTTAAAATAAAAAGTTGATAAAAGTCTATGAATGTTTCTTTATATAGACTTTTATAGAGTCTTATAAAGTTTTAAAAAGTTTTGAAGGACTCTATGAAAGTCAATCAAAGTTTATTAAAATCTATCATTTTAAAAGTTTTTAAAACTCTACAAAAGTTATGATTGAATACACCCCCTGAAGTAATATAACGCGGGTGATTAAGTAGCCCAAACACAGTGTAAATCTCCGCTCACTTTTGACCTGTCTCTTATTGATTTCGCATACAACTCTCTTAAATTCCATGTCTTTCATATTTAGAACATCAAATTCTCCCATTCTTTTTACTTTGTACTCCACCCCTTCAATATCTCGAGCTCAATCTTTCAATATATATATATATATATAAAATGTAAATTGTTAAAATTATCACATTCATATTCACAATGATAAATTGAGCATGAATCAAACTTTAGTGACTAAATTCAGTCATGTGTCAAACTTTTGGGGTCAAAATGAGAATTTCTCCCAACTGCCAGGCCCACCGTAGTGACGTAGTACCGACAACGATGACGTTACACCCCGCCATTTCCCTGAATCTAGGACTTCCAAGCTTGCTCGAAATCGCTCACAAACTCACTGAGTCCATCTCTCAACTGTCTCAGCGTCCTCCATGACGTCCACCGGATATCGAGATCGGACGTCGGAGTTCTTATCCCTGTCAAAAACACTGAAGAAGATCGGAGCAACTCCACCGCCAAACCAGCACCAGAGCGACGCCGTTTCGTCCCCCTCACAACCGCCGCCGAATCCGGACCGATCCGAGTTCAGTAAGAAAGCTTCACGAATCGGGCTGCGGATTCACCAAACTTCGCAGAAAATCGATAGGCTCGCAAAATGTAAGCTCCTTTGATCCTTTCTCCGCCTCTCACTTGTGATTGGACTGAAAATTAAACCTGCTTGATACTTGTTCTATCAATATAATATGCAGATTGCTTAAGAGTTTATAGAATTGATTTTTGCATTCTAATGCAGTGGCGAAAAAATCATCAATTTTTGACGATCAAAGCAAGGAGATTCAGGAATTAACAGCCTTGATTAAAGATGAAATCACGGGACTTAATGTAGCAGTTTCCGATTTGCAAACGCTTCAAAGTATTGAGATTTCTGATGGAAACTATTCTCAAGATAAAATTGTTCATTGTAATGCTGTTTGTGATGATCTTAAGAGTAGACTTATGGGTGCCACAAAACAGTTTCAGGATGTGCTAACCACTAGAACAAAGGTGCTTATTCCAATTTGAAATACCTAACTTACTACTCCTTTAGATTTGCCCTGAAACTATAGTGCTTGATATCTTCTTTTTGCAGAATATGAGAGCACACGAAAACCGGAAGCAGATCTTTTCTACGAATGTGTCAAGAGAGAACCCTTTAAGGCAACCAACATCTTCTGTGACAGAGCCACCCCCTTGGACAACCTCACCTTCATCAGGTGGTATTCTGCCTTCATCAGTGTAAGTGTGCTTCTCATTTGGGGCGTTTTGATAGATGCAATTTGATTATCGGGACAAGTTTTCCATTGACACTAGAGTCTCAGACTCTTAGCTATTGTGGTTAGCAAATAGTATTAAGTGTATTAGTGCTTGAGTTGTAACCATTCAGCTTTGCAGTATGAACTTTTTTCCTGATAGATTTGATCAGTAATTAACTAGTTATCACGCTTCCTTGATTTCACGCATAGAATAACTAGCTTCTCAAGTTGGTCAATTTTGCCTATATTGTTACTTCATGAAATGTGTGTGCTGTATTGCATGGAAGAGTATCATACCTTGAGGTTTCTTCAATTTGTTTTGTGAGATGTGCCTAATTAATTTTCAGTGCTCATTCTTTGAAGGCCTTCTGTTTCTCATTTTTGCTTCTTGATTTTGAATTGTGATACATGCATGTTTTTGTGCTTTTTAGCTTTGGGTATAGAGCAACCTTAAATCTCCATGCCAGCTGTCCCACCCTAGGATTAGTCACTGTGTCCGACAGTGGAAACCCTGGGTTACATAAAAAAAAAAGTGCTTTTGCAGCCTTAAACACTCTAATGTTGTACTTCATGGTCATGCTAATTCATCCATCATATGCTCGTCAATATCTTTTCTTCTAACTTTCCTTCTTCTATCTCATTTCTGAATATTTCAGACCGCCTGCTAATGGAGTTCAAGTTGGCAACCAACTAAGGTGTGTTCCCTTGTCCATATAAATTAGTGACCTTCCAGATGTGCTAAAATAGCCCCAATAGATGTCGATGGCTTATACTATAACATTATTTTGCATACTTCCACACCATAGTATTGATGTTATGGATTTTCCATGATTGAAAGCTTCTTTGTACAATCCTGAAATTTAGTGTTTCACACACGCTTCTCTAAGGATTGATGAGAAATTTTGCATGCAGACGAAGGCTCGCTACAGACAACACTCCGTCCCATCAAATGGAAGTGTCCATGATACAACAGGTAGTTCCAAGACATGAAAGTTACTCACAGAATCGAGCGGTTGCTCTTCAAAGTGTGGAATCCACAATTTCGGAATTGGGTGGGATCTTCACAAATCTTGCTACAATGGTCGCACAGCAAGGGGAACTTGCTATAAGGTTGTGCTTCATTTTATTTCTCCATGTTCACATTTATGATTTAGGAAGTTTCATTACTCGTTTCCCTTGCTGTTTTGTTGCAATGAGAGAATTAGGGGAGAAAGGAATTGTAATTCCGTGGGAATAGAATAAGGTGGGAATAAAGTAGGATTCAAATTCCATTGTTTGGTAGGCAATAATAGAATTACTGGAAATTTCAATTATAGTTTTTGGTATATATAAGAATTGAAAGGGAATTAATATAAAGACCAAAATGCCCGTTGCAATATGGAAAGATGGAGGACTATTAGGGAGGGCAATTTGGTCTTCACACTACAAACTTTCTTCCCATTTATTATGGAATTGCAATTCCTAGGGGGGATGTGGGTTTTGCAATTCCTCAAATTTGATGAATTGTAATTCAATAGAATTACAATTCCTCCCAACCAAACTCCAGAATTTTCCACTTCTTGGAATTAAGTGGGAAAGGAATTGCAATTCCTCTCTACCTCATTCTGGATGCTCACCATCCTGTTCAATGCCCTTAATCATAACTGTTTGCAAAGCAGAAATTACTCATCTGACTATCCTAGCATGATAAGGTTGTCATTTTACTCATCTCTTCTTAGCATTCTCATTTGGGGCAATATATTGCCTGGTGAACATGGACAGGATTGATGACAATATGGATGACACGCTGGCAAACGTTGAAGGTGCGCAGACTTCTTTGTTGAAGTACTTGAACCAAATATCATCAAACAGGCAGCTTATGATCAAGATATTCCTTGTTCTGATATTCTTTTTGGCATTATTCATCTTCCTGGCTTGACTGTAGTTAAGGTAAAGTGTGGAAACACTGTAATTTTTGCATCTGGAAATACACTCTGATGCCATGCCATAGTCCAACATTCTGTAGAATGGTTTCTGTCAATTGGTTGAGGTAAAAGATAAAGGGTTTGTATGCAGTTTTGTGATACAGTTCTCACATTGATTCCTTCTTGATCTGAAATGCATGTTTTTCCAACAAAGTTATATATATAGTCTAAAAACAGTGTTACACAGTTCAATTTGAATACAGAACTAATGACACAATCGGGCAACTTCATTTAAATTAGTCGAACGGTTGGCCTGGTATTTTGGTAATCATAAGGTTACAAGTTCGAGCTGTTGCCCCCACGAGGTTACAGTTTGACTCCCAGCGAGGTGGCCTATTGGTCTACCTTCTTGTAGTCGTTTGACAGTTAAAGTCAAAGCAAAGTTTCTTTTGTCACCCAAAAAAAAGAAGAATTTTTTTTTTTCCTATTAACCATAACCAGAATCATAATGGAATTTCTATAGATATAGACCAAGATCAATTACGGGAGCTCATAATATAATTTTTTGTAATTTTCAGAACATCTGATCAACCTTCAAAACTACCAAACTTCCATTTGTTGATCTTATGACGACGTTTTAATTCAACTACTAACATCCTTTATCCTTATTTGCAAATTCAAATCGTTAACAGCTAATAATTAATCGCAAATTTTACTAAACATATTTTGAACAAAAAAAACTCATACAAACCAATTGCTCAAATAATCTATAGCCAATACAATTCAGTTCCCAAACAAGACTGGATATATATCCTATAAAGTAAAACATCATTTGATAGATAACTTTTGTGTTAACTTTTCTTGGAATTTTTAGCATAAAATGTCATAGAAAGTGGCTATTTTGTGGTACAAATATATGTCAGATTAACTTACGATTTGGGTCGGGTCAAAGTGACTTCGGGTTCTTCGTTAAGACGAAGAGATTGATATATTGTACGCTCAAAACGAGTAATGGGTGAATGACAAATTGACTCTCAAAGTAGACCTATTTGAGTTGGTGATAATGATGATTTTCACACATCTATCAAGTATCAAATCACAGTATAAAGTTTAGATATCGTTGAGATGACTCTTGTAATGTTAGGAATTGATGCAAAGTGGAGTTAAGCACAAGCTAAAACTACCCTTTTAGAAGCTAGACCTATCTATAAAGAGTTTGATTGATATAATTAAGCAAATAACAAATAAACAAGTAAAACAAAGGACCGGGACTTGGTTGATTCAAGTTAAGATGTCAAATATATATTATCTATCATTATAATAAAGCACTAAGTTTCTGCCTAAACCAAACTCCCGCCCAATTAAAACGACGTCACTTTAGGTCCACAAAAAAATATCTACACTAAATGGTGCTAAACAAAGCTTAACGCGTGCAATTTAATTGTGCCGGCTACTTTTTGGTAATACCAAGTAAAATAAATCAATTTAAATAGACTTCTAATAATTACAGACTTCTAAAGACAGTGTTCATATTAAACACTGCTTCGAAAACATATTTCTCAAATCTAAAATAAATAAATATAAATAGACTCATACTAAAGTGACTTAATGATTTAAATGTCTGATCACCATGCTCTTGGAAACTGAAAGGTTGACAGCACCATTCATACTTCCAAGATAACATTCAAGATTTTGAAATCCATAGTTTTACATTCTATATAAGCCTCTGTCGATGGAGACATCCACTCCCAACTTCACCATATCTGCAGTTCGTATCACCTGCCAATTAGAAAAAAGAAAACCAAAATATTAGCAAAGAAACCATGCCAATGTATGGTGCTGTAAAAGACATTGGCCCTCTCGATAGGGAGAAAGCAATAAGAGTCAAGTGTGTTAGATGCTACGAAATAGCTTAAAACAGAGGGTCTACAGAGATCAAGAGTCGAGAAGTGTTGGTCTGTGATAAAGAGGTATTTTAGTTCACTGTTTAATATTTTAGTTTACTGTTTAAGCTTTAGGCTTTACACAGATTTATGCTCTACAAATGTTTTATTTATTTTACTAATCTTATGTGCATGGAACTTTCATTCATTTGAACATGCAAAACAATGATGTCAAAAAATACAAAAATATTTTCATAGAAGGGAAGCTCTATTCAGTCAAAATTTTTTTGGTGTTCACCCACTATTATATGTACAAAACTTGTGATCACAAATATATGATCAGGCTGAACTATAAGACTCATGTAAAGGCAATCAAATCCAAAGGTTTTCCTACTAAGATGTTTCAGCTAAAAACCTATGACTCTTTGAAAGACCATACTCAAGTCAATGACAAGGTGTTGTTTGGTAAGTATTTTGTTCTTATTTTTGCTATTTTTCATTCAACTATTTTTGTTTTATTTGGTCTACTATTTATTTATTATGTGTTGATACAGATTTAATGGGCAGAGTTGTCGAGATCCATGCTCCTGTTGACAAAATCATAGGAGGTAGACCCGCCAAACTCCTAGACTTTAAAATGGTTGATAATGAGTAAGTTTCATACTAACAAATATGTTCCTATATTTCTAATGATTATATTCTTTCTAACACACTTGCCTATAGGAGAAATACCTTACAGTGCACTGTGTGGGACAGTCATGTTGGTGCCATGCTACCATACTATGATTCTGGTCTTAAAGAACCACTAATTTTGGTTCTTCAGCTTTGTCGGGTAAGTTATAATGATAGATTATTCTTTTACATTATTTCTAGGTTTTCCATTGTTCGTTAACATCTATCATGCTAATAGGTGAAATCAGAATCACTAGCTGCTATGATGCTACCCAACTTCATTTGAATGCATCTTACCAGGAATTTGCTGATTTTAGGTCTCAGTAAGTGCCTGAATTTTTTTATTTTTTTTTATTTTTTATCTACACTCTATATTTTCTAAACTATTGTATCAGATATTTATACAACTGTGTATTAATTTTACCTATAGGTTAATTGCTTCAAACAGCCCTTTACGCAGTATCAGTACTGCAACAGTGCTGTCTCAATCAACAGGAATTGATGACTTCGCCAGTGGTGCTTTGAGTGTAACTATAGTAGCTGATCTATTGAAAAAGAAGCAGGTTAGACTCTATACTTATAAAAACCATGAATACAGTCCACAAAACTGATTATAGATTTAATAAGCTAGATTACATAAGACAGAGCAACCAAGTGATATTTTGTATGGCAGAATGGGGAATTCTATGTACCTGCTGAAATTGTGGCGATTGAAGGTTCTTTTGGATGGATGTACATCTCTTGCATGTCACCAGGATGTAACAGAAAGCTTTATGAACAAGCAGGTGATCTGATTTGTACAACTTGTGATAAGAAGTATAAAGAAGGCATGGCAAGGTATCAGGTCAAAGTTATTGTTCTAGATAAAGGTCTAGGAGATGCTCCCTTCCTTTTATGGGATAGGGAGTGTTCTGAATTAGTTGGTATCCCAGCACACAGTTTGTACACGAAGTATAATAAGGTAAAGTTACATTACTATAAAATTTAACACATACATATAAAGTCTTTTTGTATTTGTCTTTTTTAAAAGTATGCTATTTTGTGTATTTTAGGTTTCTGACATTCCAAAAGAATTTGAGTCCTTAGTTGGTATGAGAATGGTATTTAAGATATCATTAAAAATGGAGTTCATGAAGGGAGCTAATTCAGTCTACACTGTTATGAGAGTTCTAAGGGATGAAGCCTTAGTCTCAGCATACTGTTCTAAACTGATTGAAGACCAAGACAAGGACTTGATATCAAAAATGATAGATGAGGACGAGGAGGAATCAAATCAGGTTGTTATTGTTACTAAAGTAAAAACAATTTTTACATTTTTAATCCTATGTTTGACATGTTTTGGACTAAACTTTATTTTAATATACAGGAAGCTTCTAATGGAGACAATGAGGTCAACAGTCCATTAAGTATACAGCAGTCTCAAAGGCTAGACAATGAACCTGAAGATTCTAATGGTGTGAAGAGATCGCTTTTGGACCAATTCTCCTCCTCTAGCAAGAAGGGAAATACTGTTGTTGTTAAACAGGAAAAACTTTAAGATCTGGGATATTACAGACTATTATCACATTAGTGTGGTTTTTATCTTTTTAAACTAATCGCTTGCCCTGCTCAATTTCACTGTGTTTGTGCTGAACAATTTCAGTTTGTTTCAATCTATAATTAGACTCTTTGCCTTTGTTATTTACCTATGATTTCTTTTTATAAACATTCATAAATATCTGTTTATTAGTTTATATTGTTAGATATATGAAAATGTATGCAGGACAAGAAGGAAGGAAGCAAGCAAACAATGTAAGAAGGAAGCAAACACAATCACAATCAGTTAAGGAAGCAAACACAGTCAACCAATGTACCACACAATGGTTTTCAATTCTTAAATTATAGCCATATGCTAAATGTGTATCCAAGTACTAAGTCTGTATTTTAAATTATACTCTATCTAATGTAATAAAACTCATTATTTACATTGTATACAGACTGCTATTTTACTTTAAAACTCACACAATTTAAATATCATCATTAGCAAACTACCAAAAAAGAGAAACATCTCACAATAGTAAAACAGTAACACTTCACAGAGAACATTTAATCAATCAAACACACCAATGATGTAATTAAAAAAACTAAAATTTAAAGTAATCAAATATACATTCACTTTATAGATAGTCCTACATTCTAGACCTTTAAATCAACATTACTTTAATTTAGATATAGACTTGGTCAAGTTAAAATGTAATTAAACTTTAAGGATAAAATTCTAACCAAAATAATATATTGATCAGAGTATAAGTATATAGTCCTATATTCTACACTTTTAAATGAATAGTACTTAAAAATTAAAATTGACTTGGTCAATTAAAAAGTAGATAGTCAATTTTATACCTAACTCAATTAAACCCTAAACCAGCAATAAAAACAAATTAAAGAAAAAAAAAATAGAATTGCTGTGTATTTTGGTCTCCCTAATTTGAAAATAAGAATAATATGCATTTAGGTCTCCCTAATTTGAAAATAAGAATAATATGTATTTACGTCTCCCTGATTTGAAAATCGGAATAATATGTATTTCTCAAGAAGTAACTAAAACATACAATAGCATAGTGTCAGTATATAGTATTAAAAAAAAAAGTATACTATAGCTTGCTAAAAATCCAATGTAATTAACATTGTCATAACTACATTTCAAACCTTAGTAAAAAGAATATATTACTTTAATTTAGATATAGACTTGGTCAAGTTGAAATGTAATTAAACTTTAAGGACAAAATTCTAACCAAAATAATAGATTGATCAAGAGTATAAGTAGATAGTCCTATATTCTACACTTAAGGAACATTACTTAAAAATTAAAATTGACTTAGTCAATTGAAAAGTAGATAGTCAATTTTATACCTAACTCAATTAAACCCTAAACCAGCAATCAAAACAAATTAAGGAAAAAAAAGTATTTGATTGCCAAAAATTTAGTTTAAACAAAGTTAGTGTTGAAACTCAGAATACTATGTATTTAGGTCTCCCTAATTTGAAAATCAGAATAATATGTATTTCTCATGAAGTAACTAAAAACATACAATAGCATAGTGTAAGTATATAGTATTAAAAAAAAAATATACTATAGCTTGCTAAAAATCCAATGTAATTAACACTGTCATAACTAAATTTAAAACCTTACTAAATAGAATATATTACTTCAAAATCATTAAAAAAAATGAATGTATTACGGAAACATTTACAATTTTTAATTAAAATATGATACACATTCCTAAAAACAAAATCCTGAAATTTTATGGATAGTGTAATACAATCTATACTATATATAAAAACAAAATCCTGAAATTTTAACTTCCCGCCCAATTCCTAACAAATCTCTCTTCCTAATAAAATATATTGATTTCTACTTTCCCATTCGTACAATAATTCTGCGTTAAAATTCTATTCTAATATTATAAAATAGTGTAATACAATCTATACTACATATAAAAACAAAATCCTGAAATTTTAACTTCCCGCCCAATTCCTAACAAATCTCTCTTCCTAATAAAATATATTGATTTCTACTTTCCCATTCGTACAATAATTCTGCGTTAAAATTCTATTCGAATATTATAAAATAGTGTAATACAATCTATACTATCTATAAAAACAAAATCCTGAAATTTTAACATCCTGCCCAATTCCTAAAAAATCTCTCTTCCTAATAAAATATATTGATTTCTACTTTCCCATTCGTACAATAATTCTGCGTTAAAATTCTATTCTAATATTATAAAATAGTGTAATACAATCTATACTATATATAAAAACAAAATCCTGAAATTTTAACTTTCCGCCCAATTCCTAAAAAATCTCTCTTCCTAATAAAATATATTGATTTCTACTTTCCCATTCGTACAATAATTCTGCGTTAAAATTCTATTCTAATATTATAAAATAGTGCAATCTATACTATCTATAAAAACAAAATCCTAAATTTTAACTTCCCGCCCAATTCCTAAAAAATCTCTCTTCCTAATAAAATATATTGATTTCTACTTTCCCATTCGTACAATAATTCTGCGTTAAAATTCTATTCTAATATTATAAAATAGTGTAATACAATCTATACTATCTATAAAAACAAAATCCTGAAATTTTAACATCCTGCCCAATTCCTAAAAAATTTCTCTTCCTAATAAAATATATTGATTTCTACTTTCCCATTCGTACAATAATTGTGCGTTAAAATTCTATTCTAATATTATAAAATAGTGTAATACAATCTATACTATATATAAAAACAAAATCCTGAAATTTTAACTTTCCGCCCAATTCCTAAAAAATCTCTCTTCCTAATAAAATATATTGATTTCTACTTTCCCATTCGTACAATAATTCTGCGTTAAAATTCTATTCTAATATTATAAAATAGTGTAATACAATCTATACTATCTATAAAAACAAAATCCTAAATTTTAACTTCCCGCCCAATTCCTAAAAAATCTCTCTTCCTAATAAAGTATATTGATTTCTACTTTCCCATTCGTACAATAATTCTGCGTTAAAATTCTATTCTAATATTATAAAATAGTGTAATACAATCTATACTATCTATAAAAACAAAATCCTAAATTTTAACTTCCCGCCCAATTCCTAAAAAATCTCTCTGCCTAATAAAATATATTGATTTCTACTTTCCCAATCGTACAATAATCCTGCGTTAAAATTCTATTATAATATTTTAAAATAGTGTAATACAATCTATAAAACAAAATCCTGAAATTTTAACTTCCCGCCCAATTCCTAAAAAATCTCTCTTCCTAATAAAATATATTGATTTCTACAATAATTCTGTGTTAAAATTTATTATAATATTATAAAATTGTGTAATACTATTCCTATTCTAATCTATATCTATTTTATATATCAGTGTTACAAAAATCGTGTCGCTGGTCTCGGCGAGGAAGGCCGGGATCGGCCTCCTCAGCGGCTGCCTCGTCGGCACAACCGGCCTTTATTTATTTATATATATTTTTTTAAGTTGTAAAGTGTCAAAAGTTCGGCAAGGCATAACTTTTGATTCCGTTGTCCGTTTTGGACAAATGTTTTTTTGAAATCGCGTATTTTTTCGAGATCTATCCACCGCAAATTGCCATAGGCGGTTTGGCCCACCAATTTCTAAAAAAAATACTTTATTAAAGAGTTTCTAAGAAAAAACTATGAGAACCTTATGTTTTATTAATGAATTTTTAAAATTTTTAATTAATCAATTGTCCTGTGCATTATTTAATAATCTTTCTTTATAATTGGTCAAATTATTTAATTATGGTAAATTTGGGAATAATTAATGATGGTAATAGAAATCCTAGAAGAATATAGAATTGAACAATATTTAATTATTGTTATATTATTATTGTGACTCACGGAATACAAGAGTTAATGCCATTTTTGGTCCTAGACTTATTGGGGCATTGACACTTTTCATCCTCCATAATAAACACTGCCACTTAGTAGCCACTGTTATTGATCTTTGGACAGTTTTGATCCTCCGTCAATGACGCCGTTTGTTGACCGTGAATTAGAAGGGTTTTTCTGTCTTTTTATGTTTTAATCCTTGTATTTCTCCATCCATTGGTCACTGCTACATCCATTTCTTCAAACTGAGGTTATCCGCTTCAGTCCTTTCTTACATTAAGAAACCATCTTCACCCAACTAACAATCACGAATTTTACATTTGACATCAATCTCAAGATAATGGAAACAAGTGCAGTTGGAATAGAAAGGGCGTTAGTCCATGCCTGTGGAAATTTTTTCGAGCATACAACATAACTAGCAAAGTCAGGAATATCACCCAACCCCTCCCTTAACCTTTATGCATCAACTATAATAGGTATGCGCCCCTACTCTTTGCCTCCTGCACTACAATCAAAGCAGTCTCATGCAGCCTTCCATCTAAGTAGACAATATTTACTCCAAGCGCTGAAGACAATTTTGATTTGGGTATGTAGACCCTCAGATATCATGGGTGGATACCCTGGAGTGAAAATGCACGTGCGAGTTTTTTTTTTGGTTGTCAACAATGACATATGTGAGTGGTGAGTTTCCTCCTTTAGACACCACCATAAAAGATGTATCCACACCATCCCTTTCAAGCTCATCAAGTATTCTTTCGCCATGCGAGTCATCAGCAACTTTAGATATGATCCTTGGATTAAGACCAAGACGAATTTTATCATTCGGGTTTGGGAATGAAGCTACAGCAGCCAGGAAGTCAACATCGGCCATTCCAACACCTCAGACAATGCGATTTTTGGGGAGCGGCGGATTACACATTTTCAGCTTGAAACTTCAATGAATTTCAGGTAGAATAACAGAGTTTTTGAGGTTGTGCACCAAGTAGTTGTGGTCAGAGAGAGAGAGAGAGAGAGAGAGAGAGAGAGAGAGAGAGAGAGAGAGAGAGAGAGAGAGAGATGTGAAGGATATTTGTGGTCAATATGGAAGGGAGGACTTACAGGTGCAAATTCTACATCACGTCATCTACAACTACAACTGCTATTTAC